GGATTCGAACACTCGTCCTCCGGGGCGATAATTTGGTGACTTTACCACCGAGCCACCACCGCCGATTTACATACTCTCAAATTGTTAGTAGCTTTTGGATCCGAGTGATCCAAAGTTCCTTGATTAGGTTGAGATCTAGACTGCATGCAGATCACGCCACAACTTTAACACCGTGAAGTAATGAACAACTGTTGATTGAATGTGAGTTGTAAACCTCGATATTATTCTGATGGAATACGTTTTCCTTCTAACTATTCAAAACCACTAACGTACGTATTAGAATATTGAACCTTATACATAACCGCGGGGTTGCTCGGAAATAGACTGCAAACTGTACCCTATACCATTAGCTAACTTCTAGGATTGCTCTGTAGACTGATATGCTGTTGACGCTTTACTAAGTCAAATCTGTGGTAGTTCCATGCAACTGGTCCTTCCCAGTAAATTTCTTCACATCGCTGAAGGAGAAACATTTCCATTCGTCTAACCATGTAACATGAGATTCAGTATACGAGAAACGGGCCTCCAGTTCAGGTGTTTTGGGTGATATTATTTTCTCATGGTCCCATTCACGTTGCGTCCCCCAAAGTTTGTTGCATTGTGTGATTTGAAACACCTAATCTGTGAAGGGGTTTAATTTCTGGGGTATTAGTTATAAGAGAGGAAGGGAAATGTATAAACTTGCTATATTTTCCATCTCTGAAAATTCGAGGGGTGCTGTCTAATCATTTTCCTTTCGCTTGTGCTATGATCACTAAAAACACTACGACACAGTAGGCTTAAATTGGTGGTATTCATCGGCTGCCTCGCGTATGCTGTACTCACTCTTACTCAATAGCTGAGGTTTCGTCCAACAGGCCAGTACTGAATCTAGTCCGCTTGATTTGAGGCTGGTTGTTGAAATTCAACTTCATTGAGGACTGTCCATCAAACTTAAACGTTTGCGCTTTCCTTGTGTCGGCTTTCTGTCATTATCTTATTCACACATCCAGGTTCGGATACAGAGGTCATTCGCCGAAAGATTCCAAAAGTGCATCAAGGGTGCGCTGTGGAATGACTGCATTGTTCCAGTTAAACTGAATCCGATGGAAGAGGGTTTATACAAATGGCTGCAGTATTGTTTCGCAATTAGGAGCATGTTTTTTGGTAAAATCCAGGAAGTAGGCATTCCGCCATTAGGCTTCTTACTTGAATACGCTATGGGTACCGCGAAATGCCTGTTATATTACACTCAAAACTAAAAGTGCTATGAAAACCCGCCGATGAGGGTACAGAGCTTGTGTTAAGGGAAGTATTCAACAGTACAATCTGAAATATGTGCAGTTGCAAGTGATTAATTTAGTGTTTGAGCTGAATTGTACCCTTCCGCCTGAAATACAGGCTTCACCACAAAACCATTAACAACTACCTACCCTGAAATCTTGACAAACTCCTCCAAATCACAGTATTTACCGTTCAAGGCTTGATCCACCGGAGTGCAGTGATGCATCATGGTATAGTTCCGTTAAACAATTAAATTACAAAATACCGGATGAATAAATGCTTATGATTTTATGTACTTGTGTTTGCGTATATTAAGATAATTCAGTACTCATAAGTATCGTATAGATATGTGTGTGTGCATGTGTGAATGCATGTTTTTGTATTCGTCGTCATTTGTGGTGATATTTATGCTGTCGTTGTTTTTGTATAAGAGCACGCACACGCGAAAGCCATTTACAGCAAACCTGGACCGGGGGATCGTGCATCACAAACTGTCAATGAATGGGGACAGAATGAAGGTCTATTTAAATAGTTATATAGGCCAGAGCCTATTCGGAGTCTGAATATGTGGGTGTGGGCGTGAACAAATGGGTACTTGTCCAAATCGAACTTTGATTCGCGAGCTGCTGGGAACACGATATCTGTAAAAATGAGTTGATGCTTGTATGATACTCGTCCATTTTCATTCGTAAAAGCAGAACAAAGGATTCAGCTGATGGTCCTCGCAAATATTTCCAGATTCTTATCGAGAGGAGTTGAGGAAGGACGATGCTGCTTAACAGATAGAGAAAAAACATCAAACGAACAAAACAAAAACAAATGAAAAAGTTAAAACAAAGATCGGTCTCCACGCGGTGACAATGGGTTTGCTTGATGTGAAATAATTCAACCAAGACGTAAGTTCAGTCGTTTCAAGCACCAACTAGTAAGTAATCAGTGACAGACGTACTTGAGAAGAAACAATGCGTAAGGTCGGACGGAATCAAAAACAAATTTTCTTTGCTTCCACCTAATGAATAAAATACCGGGGTGAGCGAATGAAGAAACAGAAAAATCGATGTACATATATGTATGCTTTGATAGCCGAGTAGAACAATTTAATCGCGATCAAATGTTATTGAAAAATGATAAATCGCTGCACTGCAATAATTGAATGGCAACACATGTGCGAACATCACGTTCAGGTGATTGAGCATCCTGGATTAGGCCGAAACCTGGAGGTTTTGGAAATATTTTGGATGACTAGAAGTAATCCAATCTGCTCAGTGATCGGTCTATCGGCACGCACAACTTTCGACGACCATATCTTGGTACACCCGTAAAACCACGTCGCCGTTTTGTTTGTGATAAAGCAGCGACTGAGAAGACAGTTGATTCGGTACGCAGCATGGGCCGGAAATTCGCGCGGCATCTAGTAAATGCACTAATTGTAATAAAACTGCATGGTTAGTGGTGTTGTAATGTGTAGATAGGGGAAAAGGACATTGGCCACGACAGTAGCGCGCGTTGTATGCTTGTGGAGCAATAACCCATCCCGCCCAACCGACAGCATCAAAGTCGATAATTAAATCACGCCGTTGACATGTACTGTCTAAATAATCGTCCCCATTCACCGATGCTGCCGTTCTAGAGTCCTGGAATCCGTCTGCCGATGATGGCGATGGTGACTCGTACGTGTCTGTGTTTCCAACAGATAAACCTCGACCACGGAAGTTATCCTTCGGTTGACGATACGCATTCCGAGAATCGCTATAATAGTATGGATCATTGGTCATGCTTGGCTCTCGCCAGTCCTCAGAACTCGNGAATTCCGTAGTTCAGAATGGAGCATCCGTTGTAGTCGACGATACCGCTTTTCGAACGAGGCTCCACGTCTGGCCTAAGAAATATAGTCAAATAAAAAGGATAGAGCACAGGTTACATTTGGAGCACTGCCTGTCTGTCTTCTATCTCTCTAAAACATTTTAATTGTCTCATTATCTTTTCTTATTCATTCTTGAACATTATCCAATTTGAATAATTTCCGAAATCTTATATCTTGAAGAGGTGCGTAATGAAAACGAATGAAAAATATATTTTGACCTCACCAAACGATGAACATCCGATTCAATTAGGTATCAACTGGTTTAATGATTATTCATTGCTGTCTGTTCTTGATGCTCAACAAAATCAAATAATATTTGTGAAAACTTCTGTTTTTTCGTTTATCATTCATGCGAATTCCCGGAACTCCAGGGTTTGCATTTTGCTTCCATCTACAGCCAATAATCTGCGACCGGACATGGTGATCTATTGTTAATTGCATGTGAAAAAGCCTAATTTTGTGCACTATGTCGTATGAGAATCCTTTCAAGCCCCTCCCCCGCAAAATAGATTTCGATAAACGTTGTTTTATTCCCACTTTAATGAACTTGGCAATCAAATTGTATGTTAGGATCAGCGGGTCCCTAAGAAATGGGGAATATTTTCCTCATCAGCTGATTTGGGGAAGGTTTTCTATTGGAACTAGTATATGGCACAGTGTGTTTCTCTTCGAAGCTGCCGAGTGTTCTAGGTGGTTCGAAGTTTAAATATTGGATGAGCCAATGAATTTGAACCACTTATGAATGGTAACATGAGCAAATATGGAGTGTTTGGTGTTTTCCCAATATAGGTTAAAGTGGATGAACCGTGCGCCATGCGTGAGGATGAAATCAGAAAAATAATCAATCAAAATCCACTGCACTTACACAACACCATTCTTCACACCTGTCTGTGGTTTACAAATTCATATATTATTATTATTTGTAATTGGAACTTTATGCCACTACAAAAACGTGGACTATGCTCATCGTCTCCGTATCACCGATCCGGTATGCACCCATCAGAATAAGCATAACAGACCAGGGAGCATTTGCCACGCTATTATTTCACCAGAAGATGCTAAAATTCAAATGACATTCCGCTGAAAAGATGTGACTGGCTGAGGCATAAGTCAAAGAAAAAAATTTGCTTGCTGGACTGAAATGACTGAATTTTACTTATGTTTTCACCAGGTATCCCTCTTGGGAACACGGACAGTGTCACAGAAGTTCCCGTTTGAAAACATGAAAAGCAAAGAGGAGGAACGAAGTGAAATTTGGCCATGCTGTTTTGTGTAGACACCCTGTGGTGCACGAAGGTCATTACACTGCTCAGCTATGCTTTGGCTATCGTAAAAATCTGGGAATCATTTACAGAGACAAGCGGGCTTTTAAGGCCTTGACAACTACGCTAACAAGCACAATGAGGTGGTGGTGGTGGTGATGGTAGTGAACGGTGCGACAGGTTTAGCGGCTGCACTTCAAAAACACGTTCACTATGATACCATCCAACTGAGTTGTTATGTCCAAAAATATCAGGCGATATATTGAGACAGCCGGGTAAAATAAACCAAGAAGAGTAACTACATTTCAATGACATTTCTTTAAGGTGATCGCTGTTGCTAAAATTGACCTGAAACTAAGTCAATGGTTAACATTTTGTGCAGTTCTTTGTTCAATATATAACTCGTACAAGGATATTTGCAACTGCTTTCTTTAGCAGTAGCTTTTAAACCAATGGAAATTGCCTAAAGGTCTCAGAAAAGCTGAGAATTCCGTGCATCATGGAACTGTACTTTCTAAGATGTTATAAATTTAGTTATTGAAGGTGTCCAATTGTTCTATCTGTCCTTCTGTTCAAGCCTCTACTCTCACACACATTATTCTATGACTTACTCTTGTCCGTAGATCCATGATCGCTTCTTTGACCGGTTTATTGTGAAAAGACTTGCTGTTGATCTTTGGTTTCGTAGTAGTTCTCCCCAGTTCAGGTGACCTTGTAGGTTGTTCGGGCACCGATCGACGCGTTCGTTTGGACGATTTCAGTAGCACCTGTGGGTCTCGATGAAATGTGAATAGATGCGGAGCCTCGTGCAACCATTGAGACATGTCAAATCCATTGGCGGAACGTGGATGCAAACGTAATTTGTCAAGTGTTTGTCCACGATCGATGCGGGGAACGAGGCTGCGCAATCGAACTGTCACATACTTGGTGGGATTTGAATGCATATTCACTTGTTGTAGCATATTCAAAATAGTCGAACTAAGAGGAATATGAAACCAACCGGGAGGAAGATGCAGCATTGTGTAGTTGTTCATCCCCAAAGACCATTCACAACTCGGTTCATCCGGTTCAAAAGATCCAACCGTTTCTAAATCCCACGGAATCGATTGATCATTTAGATCGTAGTGTAACCACAACGTTATTGGCCAGTAATGTGGATCGATTTTCTGATGACCACAGTGTGCACGAAAACGATCAGATTCTGTCGTAGAATTCCGGGTTGTGGTAGGTTCATAACGCAAGCGAAGACTGGCTGCGATGAGTTGTTCATTCTCTGGCATTTCAGCTAGACGAAACATTAGACGATGCCCATGGAGTTCTGATTCCGGTGGGTGATGCATTAATAATGGTTGGACAAACGGATCCTCCAGAAGCACATGGTCTTGAAAGGTTCCTGTTGATAAAAAATACAAAGAAAGAAAATCAGAATATGTAGTAGATATTTAGATTACCACTAAATTAAGCATTTTCTCTCCACTATCGGTCTTTGTAGTCCATGGTGAAACTTAGCATTATTTAGGGAGTAGCTTTAGCTGAAAAAAACCGTTGGACCATATTAACCAAACCGGTAGTTCATAGATAAAGTAAAAGAACTGTTTAGAATTTTTGATGTGAGTGATCTCATTCATATTTCGTAATATAGTGTTGTTGTTTCCTTCTCTACAATTTCATTCATTCTCCGCGGGTGAACTACAGTGTAATGCGACAGAGACATTTTGTGAAAAACAATAAACAGCATTGAAAAGCTGCTTGCTCATAATTGGGACTCTGCATTCGTTCCCAATTTAAGTGTCTTCACTTTGATTCTAATCATGCATACAAGTGCGATAAGCGTTGTAAGACTAACTTATTGACCTTGTTAACAATCCAAATGGAAACTTTGGGGCTAAATGCAAGCTTCTAACCCTCTTGACGTCTCCTTATCAGTTGTAAGTGGATTCAGTGGCCGATGTATTATGACAATAAAGTCGAAATCCTGGTCTTGCAGATCAAAAGTCGTTCTGTAAAACTTTGAGCAGAAAATCCTAAATTCCAAATTTTCCACAAACTAAATTAATTATGATTTTCAATGCTACTGAACCTCATTACTAGTGTTCTCCCATCGGTTTCACAGAATATGTTCGATCATCAAAACAGCTAATCAAATTCAGTAACATACGATTCAGTAAAATGTACTCTTTGGACTTTTTGTTATTATTTGTTTCAGGACTAGCCCTCGGGATTTTCATACGAAGAGAACAAAAAAGTAGAGCGTTAGGTGGAAAGCATTCAAATCTCATCGGCACCATTCAGAGCCGATGGTTTTTAAGATATTTTTCCCAGCAGTTTATATTTACGAGAATGATAGTATTTTTGGTAGTTGATGTAGAGTTTTCGGGGTCTCGCTAGCAGTGTATACATTCCGTGTTCCTCATGGAATTCCGAGAGAATTCAATCTGCTCATTCGTGCCCCGAACAAGGTACTTCTGTACTACATTATTGACTGACCTTGGGAGTAAATGTTACATTAAATGGCAGTTCATCCCTTTCCGTAATTAGTATTCAACACAAACGCTTTGATTGAAAAGCCGCATAGCTATTCATGAAGCTAGCATACACATGGAAATAATATATCCCTCAAATATTCGGACAGTCGGTGCTACACGATCTGCTTTGCAATACTCTTCGATGGATGAATGAGAAACGGCGTTTAGTGCATATTCAGGTCAACTGTTTTCCCTGGGATTTTCTACTCACTATCAAATTTTGACTTGAACAGTTGATCGTTAATTTTCACACAAACACAAAGAGAACCCCTGTTTCCCATAGCCATCTCATTACAACTATTTGAGTATTTGACATGGTCGCAAGTCTCAATGCTGAACATATTCAGTTAGTCGGAAGCCCTTCTAATAATACCGGAAACACATAAATAAGAGGATGAAAATGCACGGATCAACTGCCTTTCTGTTGTCTATTAGTGGTCATGAGGTAAACTTTATAACTGGTTCACCTCGGAGATTCGTGCGTTCCAAGGGGGCTGATGCCACCATTATACCTCATTTTTACCCTAATAGATAGAGACTTTTGTCTGGTCGCTCCTCATGCCTAAAAAACTGCTTGTATATTTGTCTTTTGGAAGAAATGAAGTAGAATAGTATGTGAAAGACCGATACAAAGCACTGGAAAACTGCTTAATCTTTAGTGGAAATCGTCCACGATATCAACTATGATTGTGTTCCTATCGGGACTCGGAGTGAAAGCCCAGATCAGTTCACATAATCAATGACCAGAAAATTAGGGGTTTGGCCTCATGATAGCATTCTTATTAACTCCATCCACGTTCATACATACTTTTGCCAACGTATTGATTTTTTCTGTTTCCATAAACGTTTCACACATTGGCTGGTCTATATTGGTGTGCAACCAACTATGGTCATTTGATGCGTGCCGGTCAATCTGTTTTACAGGAGTCTAGTATAAGTTGTTCATGATAAGTGCTATCGTAGGTAAGCAGTCAGCTGTATGCTCTTAAATGGGTACCAATCAGGATATCAGACGAATAGATTACATTTCACCTACGGAAAATAGATGTACTTCCCAAGAGTGGGACAGACAACCAAATACACATAAGCATCATACGCAGTGACAAAAGTTTTGATAAAATCAAACAGACTCATCCGAAACATAACTATACAAAGTATGATGATTATGAACATATGAGAGTTTTGACTGTTTTCACGATGTTTTTGAGATCACCATCAACTCAGCGCAGTTTGTTAAGCCTCACGTTAGTTTTTCAGGAGTACCGCTCCTTAAATTTCGAAATATGCCCATGCGCA